ATATATAGCAGAGCTCATCTCTGCAGGGGATTCTTTCATTGACTTGGCAGCTTGAAGACCTCAGAAGGTGTAACAATGTAGGAATTCAGAGTTCTTTCAGCCCTAATATACCTTCAAGTGGCTTTACTCAAAGAGAAAGCGTACATTAGCACAGGCATTTTATATGTGCCAATAAATTCCTATACAAATCCAACGAAAATAGATTTTGAAAAGGAAAAGAAAGAGAAAATAGCATAAAAGGGAATCAAGAAGAGATCTCTAAAAACACCTAGAAAAACAAAACAGGTCTTCAGTCACCTCTTAAAGGAGATGAGGAAGACGCACAGATGAGTATCTGAAGGAGGCAAGCTCAGCCCTAAGGGACCCTACACAGCAAAGGGCCTATCTTCTGCTGATTGGATGACAGCAGCATAGCACCCATAAGAGGACTGTCTGCGCATTCTTGTATTTTTGGTTACCAGTGTAGCTGATAAAAGGTTCCCACTTCAACAGTTTTTGCAAAATTAGTAGGGTATCAAAAACGCATTTTCTCAGTGCCTAGTTGTCTTTAGATTAATACACCAATTCAATACAAGCTGAATGACAAGGATGAGAATAGGCTAGGCCAAAATTAAACTTGATGAGAGTCAAATGTAGCACAAAAAACAGCAATGCTTTGAAGACACAGCAAACCCTTTGTACATGTGTCAGATTGTTTTGGAACAATTCCCAGAATGTAAGACACCAATCTTTTAAACACAATTTACCCATCTCTATACTGTTTTGATTCATTTGCAGTATAACCATAGATGAGGTTTAACCAGAAAAGACAGATTCAAACAACACTGGGAAAATATTCAGCAAAAGGTTGCACTCTTGATGTGTGCTGTTTTGGTCAGTTGAAGAAATAATGCCAGTTGATGTCTAGCTTGAAGTCTGTAAGAACTTAGGCCAACATCATTCAAGGTTAAGTGACACTTAAAATAACATTAAATTAACTGCTGACAGTTGGATAGATAGGTTGATGAATGAATGTGCGGTGGGGGGGGGGGGCTCTCATGACCACAAAGGGTGGGAAGAATGAGAAGATAAAGAAATAGTATACTGAAGTTTCGAGTTTGGTGAATATGGCTTTGCCCAAATGGAATCCCTTTCTAGAAGAATGTGACTTCAAATATACAAGCTTCTTTTTCTTCCGTTCTGTACTAGCTGGTGATAAATGGTATAAGAAGAAACTCAAACTCTCAAGATATATAGGTGAAAACCAATTATTTGTGCATAAATGTTTTCCAGAGCAACTAAGTATATGAAGGCAAATATTTCTAGGAATTCAAGTGTGTAAAACCTATGCTCTCTATATATCGTATGGCATTTTTGGTGGAAGAACATTGTTATACACGCAAGAACCAAGTTTCCCATCTAAACTATAAAGCAGACCTGAATAGATATATATAGATGAAATCATGAAAAAGCTTTAATTTTATTTGAGGATAGGAAAGTGGGAGGAGACTTCTAACCAAATTCATAGATCAGAATGAAAGGTGCACAGAATTTTGGCTGGGCCCAGTTTTTGGCTCATTGCATGTTCAACAGATGTTCTCATTAGAATATTCCCCATCATGCTTTAAAATAAAAGTAACTGAACTTAGAAATCTGTAATTAGCACCATCTTACAGAACAAATCAGAACAAGTTTACCAAAGTACGCTATTTACAATGAGAGTGAGTTTACCCCCAGGGTCTGCTTTACTATTTTGTTTCAATTTTCATGTAATTTCATCCATCACTTTTTTTCAATCCTCTAAAGATGATGGATAAAAAACAGAAATAAATACGACCAACTGTTCACAGATGCCTAAGGGAAAACATAATTTCGTTATAAATAATCCTTGGCACAAATCATGGAAATGCTATCTGAAAATTGTTTGTTGAATAGTTTATGAATAAGGGCTTTAGTTTAACATTTGCAAATAAGGTGTAGCACTCCCTGTTCCCTCATAAGTTGGAATCCAATCCTTTAAGAAACTGAACAGACATACAAACAGAAATCAAGGTTGCTTTAAGTTTCTGTTCAAACAGGATCCCCATGGGATGCTGGCTTTTTATTTGTATGTATACATGGAGCAGAGAACATGTAAAAAGGTGACACATGTTTAAGAATTCTTTTTGTAAAACATCACCAGAGATTTAATTCCCACCTCATGATTCACTGTAAAGTAAAAAGATGAGCTAGCAGTGATTTATGTAGAATGAAAGAGTAAGTCTTACAGTATATAATGTAATATACCTAAGCCATCTAATAAGACAATCTAACCATGTATTTTCAGAAAAAGCAAGGATCAAGAGTTACACTTTAATAATATATTTAATAATATATCATGGGAATGTCTTTATTGCAGAGATCATTCTGTGTTAGATGAAAATTCTAAGGAGAAATATTTTAAAGTGTTATTTTCTTCTTTTTATATACAATATACAACCAGTGAGAGAAAATATTTTAAATTATATAAAACACATACTATAGGCAATATAACACACAGACAAACACAAGACTGTCATAAGTTAAATATAAAATATTGTAACAATGTTAACATTTTAAAATATTATATAGATGTTATTACACTTTGGTAAGTCTTTAGAACAGATGTCCTCATGTTTTGGTGGCTACACTTGGCATTTGAAATGTCATGGCTGCCTTCACAAAATGGCTGCCATGGCTGGCTTGGCTGTTCATAAAATGATTGCCATGGCAGGCCAGAAAACAACTCATTTCCCAGAAGGTAAGCTGAAAACCAAAATAAAGGTAATGTGTCCAAAAGTTAAGCGTATAGCAGAGTTGATGACTGAACTCCAAAACACAAAGTCATTCTTTTCAACCCAAATAAAAATGGAGCTGGATAAATATTGTATTCTTTAGTATTTGATGGTGCCTTTTTAAATTATCAGCATGCTTCTTGAAAATTAACAAATGGTCAGAGTAAGTGAATTGCTATGCCCCTTTGACAACTAAAAGAATGGTATTATAATATAGGATGGATAAATATTTATCTTCTAAAATGCAATAGAGTGAAGACCTTACAATATTTTCAATATTTGAATAGGTGGCCTATAGACATCACGTTCAAATGGATAGTTATTTGGGGAGCTGGTCTGTTTATGAAACTTATCTATAATTGCTAGAATGCTGTATTTTCACATATATGCATACAGGCATTTATTAATATGGATATACCGTATTTTTTGCTCTATAAGACGCACTTTTCCCCCCTCAAAAGTAAGGGGAAATGTCTGTGCGTCTTATACAGCGAATATGTGTGTGCAGTAAGTCTGTCAGATGTGTAGCCCATGGGGAAGTTATGGGGAATGTGCCTGTGATTATGTGCCCATTTGATTCAGAATATTTTTTTTCTTGTTTTCCTCCTCTAAAAACTAGGTGCGTCTTATGGTCAGGTGCGTCTTATAGAGCGAAACATACGGTATATAAATCCATGTATTTGCATATCCTCTTTTCCTTTTTCCTTTTTTTTTCTTTCTTTCTGTTGAAATCTCAACTTTTTTTAAAAAAGGCAGTGCTGCTGCCTTCCTAGTTATTTTTCTTTTAATTAAAGAAAAATCTAAGAGATAGACTAAATATGAGAAGTGGCACAGAGCCTGATTGGTACCAAGACAGGTATCAACAACTACACTACTGCCCTTCAGAGGATATCCAGAAATTATAAAAATTTATATTGAAGACCTTGATATTTTACTGGAACCTCTTATGACGGTTGCTGGGGTTGCAAAATGAGACAAACATATTGCAAGAATATCCCGCTTTGCTTTCAATACATTATTTTATTATATTATGCAAAATGTAGTATCTGGCTTGGTATTTGGTACTGATGTGGGGTAGAATATTAATGACCAAATACTGATAGGAATACCAGTTATCAACAGCAGAAACATATAAGTATATACAACAGGAGTGTTGCATAAATTATAGGTGGATAGAGTAAATATATTTGGGGTTGAAGTACCAATTTAAACCAAATATTACTGAGTCAATGAAGTCTCTTTGCTGCATAGTAGAATCATACAATCAATTCAGAGAATGTTTGCTAGGAAGTCCTGGCATGGATAAGAGACTTCCTTCTACTTGGTTTCATTTATCTTAAGTAGATAATTTAAAACAAGTAATTAAATAAATTAAACATAAATGTTTGCCATTTTATAAATCTCTGACCTTCAAAGTCAGATTTCCAAAATGTATCTAACATTCATCTATCGCAAAACAAATATATCCAAGTTCTGCATCAAGAAAATATGGCTAATTTAAAACCAATTAAACATGCAGAAAATGCAACATAGATTCTGGAACTTTGGCAAGAAATGCCACGGTAAAAAAAGTCAAGTAATTACAAACCAGGCCTACAAAGGGTAATAAAATCATTTATAATCAGTAACTCTTTGCATGGGATAGTGGCAGTAAAGAAGTGGATAACACCTCTTACATATATCAGATACACCCATTCCATCCTTTCCCGTTATCATGTAGGATCTTGGATTGAAAGCTAACATGAATTTCAGACGTGTTTGTCATTCCTTTTAAGAATAATTGTGAGAGATCCAGAATTATTTTCAAGGCTTAACTAGGATCACTTCTAACTTACTTCTAACAATGTAACACAAGTTTGCTTTTGTCTCCAACACTGTATAGGAATACCTGGAATCTTGCATCTCTTAATTTCTATGTTTACAAAAAATATAAAGGTATACTTCTTTACTAGATGGCTTAGATATGGATGGCACTACATGGCACTTTCTGAACATGACTGGAGAAAGCCAGTATGTTTTGATGTGGTATTATAAACTTTCAGAATCGCCAAAGCACAAAAAATGATATTTCTTTTCAGGTCTTTTGTTCTATATAAGTTGACATATTTGCTTATCTAAACACAAGTAAAGGCAGAATACTGGTGAACTATATAAAAGGAACAATGATATTCATTACTCATTCAAGGAAGCAGGTGTGTTTAGCCTTACCTGATCTGTCCGCGCACCAGGGGTCTGTTTTTTGTCCTATTCATATTTGAATCAAATGGAACCTCAAAGAACTACAGAAAACAAAACAAAAAAGAAAACAAAAAGGAGAGAAGAAAGACAACTTTAAGGGATGCCAGAGACCATCCGAACTGTAGAACCAATTGACTGTTTTTGCAGGTGCTTTGCTCTTCACTTAAGAAGATTCCAAAGTGTAACCAAAACAGCAACTCTATTTTAAATTCACTTTGAAAGTCTACATTAAAACTTTTGGCAATTCCTTAAAAGAGAGTGGGAGGGGACGATTACCCGTAGGACAAAAATAATTCATAATAAGCTCTCCGGAGTCAGTCATTTGAAGGGAAATCCTTCCTTTTCAAGTTCCATCCTTGACAAGTTAGGCAGGTCTTTGCAGATGTGCACGCACTAAGCAAGCAACAACCTTCTTCTCACTCTGTCCCCAATTTTTTAAACATTACACAAACAATCCTTATGAATCACTTGTTCCTACTTTTAAAGATTAATGTTGCAAATGTTTTCAAGATCACCCAACTTTGGAAACCCATGACCTGCCCAAGAATCAGTCAGTTCTGACAAATGCTACTGCAGCTGCATTTAAGAGATGCACTGACAGCTTGTAAAGCAGACATGTGGAGTTATTTAACATGGCAGTTCAACTTAACTTTAAGCCTTGCCTATCTGAAGAGTTCTGTCATACTGCCAGTCCCGCCGAAACATTTTACAAGACAAATTACACACACACACACACCACCCCTATTAAAGCAAAACAAAGAGAATTACTAGCATTTCAATTTAAACATACAAACGAAACTGGGGGAAATCACCACCATGTACAACACTTCAGAACTGGCCAAACTTCAGTGGATATCGACCTCTGTCTGCGGAATTAAGTTCTCGTATGAGTTTCTAATGTGACCTTGTGACCAACTCCAGTAACAAAGGACCAAAAACAAGGCAAAGAATCACATTCTCTGATGTCTGAAGCCAGCAGAAGGCACAGCCCGCTTTCACAGTAGGCAGCTGTCAGCAGCTGTTGACAGCAGCAAATAGTACAGTGGTATCGGCTAGTTCCTGCACGTTGTTAGTCGCTGCTACCAAGGATCTTTTTTCCTACGCACAAGACATCATCTTTTAAAAATTTGTCAGCTGTGACATCAGGGCAAGTGACTGCAGGAATGACAGTGGCAGTGACAGCAACTTGTGCCAGCCACAAGCGGGGAAGAAGTCAAAGAAATAAGGCAGGAACTCGACATGTGTCAGGAGAGGAGAAATTATCTGGGCCCTTTTGTGACTGAACAGTAACTTTGCAATGGACTGCATGGTGTTTAGTATTTAACATCACTCTCATCAGAGAATATCAGTATGTTAAGGGTAGCATGATATAGCATGCCAAGTCAGCTGTATACTTGGAAAATGTACTCAAATCATATATCTTCAGCCTTTACAAATAAAAATACGCTCAAGTTCTATGTAGGTGATTCACTGGCTATTTACACTGGCACAGTCCTATTGCAAAATCTGTGAAACTGAAAGGATAAATAAAATTATTTTTGCTAACTGTGTCTCTGAAAAACAAACAAAACGCAAACTTGTTTTCACATCTAAGTTATTTCACTGCCACTTGAGGTTCTATTTCCACTTTGTTTATTTCCAGTTCCCTAAAATTAAGGAATATTTCCTAATCTGATAAAAACAAAACCCCTCCTGAGATTCGTCCATACAGTTGGTGCCATGGATCTAATGAAAGAAACTACTCATTACTTAAGATTGTCTTGAAAGCTTTCATTAAAGGAAAAAGAAAAAGGCAAACAGCCCACTGTTTTATCTACGGGATGTGTCTTCAGCAAATTTGGACCTGTGAGCACAGTTGGGAATTTGAGAAACTGCTGTCGGCATTACCACAAATAGCTAAGTAGTGGATTGCCACTTTGGCATCTACCTATCATGTTTATGGATCTTATATTATGTCTTATTCAGCAAAAACATTTGCTTTATGTCTGCTGAACACCACAATGTCTCTTTCATAAGGGGCTGTCTATTGCTGGTGGTGCAATACAGCCAATGTTGCTTTTATAAATATGTTTTGGTAATGTCCAATAGTTCCTTCATTTTGGAAGGAAGTTATTACAAATGCAATTGTTGTGCTGGAAAAAAATTAATATTCACATTCTTTCTAACTGTTACCTCCTGTGTGGAAATTAACAAATGGAAAGAGAAATGGATTCTCTACTTCATTTTGACAGCTAACGGATATTACAAAATTAAAAGGATAATCAGTCACTGCATCTAGTGCAATGGATTGAGGACCTAACAATGCTTTTGATATAGAAAGATACAGTATATATACACCAAACTCAAATGGACAATTAATTGAATATTGAGTCCACTTTTGCTGACGCATACATATAATTGCTAGAAAGTTACAGGCCATGTACATACATACAACATTGAAGAAATAAAAATATACTTTAAAAAAATCAGGTGTACTTGGGATCTATACTGGGGACCTCTTCTTGGGTACCACTAGAGATGCCCATGGGCACTATATAAGGGATTCCTTGCTCTTCAGCAGTGAATGATTTGCACATTCAACTTGAAAGCTGGGATTCACAGTTTATGGATAAAAATATTCTATAAATAAGAATAAATAAATAGAAAATGTGCCAGTGCCTGGAATGAAAAGAAATGAATACAGAATACAAAATTCTCATATGTAATTCTGAAATGTCTTTGTTTTTTGTTGAAATATATAACTGAGCATGCGTACACACAGAGTATATTTTCTTGACAGACACTGAATTGTACCCAGTGGTTGCACTACTGCACAGAAGGAAGCTCCTGCAACTGATTTTCTTCTTCCCTCTCTTTCTCTTTCTACCTGCAAAAATCTGCTCTAGAAAGTTGGGAGTTCCTCCTGAACCCTGGAAGCTCCTGGGGAACTGGTAGTGGTGGAAATTTGGAATTTCTTGAACGGGATTTTATCAGCAGAAATTCTTAGGGTAATGTATCTTTGTAGAAATCTGATATTAGATGTGCAGATTTTGTGCAGTTTTGAGTCATGTAAAGCAAACTAAAATTTGGACCATCTATATTTGAATCCTGGAGAACTTTGCTTGAATCCTGTTTCTAAGTGAGCCAGTCTAATTAGCACCTTCAAGGCTAATATGCAGATGCAATTATTCTTCACTTCTTAAATTCTTCAAATTTTGCAGTGCCATCCCCGACTCAAAACATGCATACGGAAATGCATAGATTAGGGAAAGAATCATAAAAACATGTGTGTGTAAGAGAATAATGCCTACAAGAATAAGCACACATTCTGTATCTTTCCTTTTTTAACAAGTTAACAGTTTGATGTAAAACGGGAATGGAACAGACATTCCTGAATACCCATGAAAGTGAAACGGACCAGATATGGACTAATTCATAGAACGCTAACTGGAAAAGGGGTATTTTGCCAGGTGGTAAAGTTTCTTCCAGTGAGTGTTGTGGTGTAGTTTTCCCTTCCACTCAGAGCTGCTGCAGCTGCTTGTGTCCCTTGCAACTTATAACCTTCAGCCAAAGAACCAATCGGGCTCATTTGCAGGAAATAGGGTGTAGGGCTGTAAAGCCGCCTGCAACAAGAGAGTAGTCCTGCTTCCTGCCACTCAGAGGTGCTGCTTGTTGTCACTCACAGACTTTAGCTGAGGAGGCAGAATATGAGGTTTACTGGAAGGTAATGCTACTTCAACTTTGGAAACCACTGCAGTGAAGTTGAAAGGCAAAAAGTCAAACCAGTCTCATTTTATTTCCCACTAATCTTAGGTAATATGAATCAATATGCTGGGGTCATTCAGCCTTGTGGGGCCTGATCTGACAGTGGGTACTGGCAGCTGTCGGGGAAGATGGGAAAAACCAGGTTAAATAAGAGCCTTCTGCACACACAGTCAGGAATACTACAGAAGCAACTCCAACTCAACATCTAGTCAACCCACCTTAGCCTGTATTAGTGACGTGGAACATGAATTTTGAGTATTTGTGTGTCTATGTGTGAGCATATATGCATTACTAATATTATACACTAATATATATTATTAGTAATATTTTCAAGACCAGTTTGAGGTATCTCTGATTGATACTGTGCAGCTGCATGGGGGGAGGGGGAGTTGTGTTCTTGTGCTTTCCCCTTTTTTCTGTAAACATGTTTGTGGTACCTGTTTTGTATTTTCAGTGGTTTTTCACTGATGTTTGGTTTCTTGAAAGATTGTAAAAATCAAATAAAAATATAATTGCTTAATAACAACCCACACAGCATCAATAGCTTACATTGTACAACTAAGAACAGATTTCACTGTATAAACAAAACAAGGTATATATTCCTCTCCAGTAATCTGCAGATTATTAATGGCTGTGAAGGAAAGACTCCCGCAACCACCCATACAACCATATATGTGCTTTGCCCCGTTTTCAGATTTATATTCCTTGCTGCCACTGCCTTCCATCACCTCAACCTAATCTGGTTCAAGGGAGTGAAGGGAAAGCTCTCTCAACACTGCATTTCATTGCTTATCTGACTTTTATTTACTATTTTTATATACTAACTTTCTTCCATCAAGGGACTTCAGGCAGAAGGGATGGGATTTCCAGGTGCTCTCCCATCCAGGCACTGACCTAAACCACACCTGTTTAACTTCAACAAAAAGGCAGCGTCATGTGCTATCAGATCATGCTCTAGGACTTGCCTTGACCTCTACTGGAGTATTGACTGTTATTATGAAGCAGCATGAGTGTTACAGACTCTGCAAAATAAGACATGATTCCTTAAATAATCAGGGTGTCTTCTTGAAGGTATTAACTCTAACTCTTGGCCTGTTTTCTTATTTAAATTACCAGTTTATGATTCTTTTAAATACATATATTTACAAATAGTATGTTTGAGAAAAACAGCTAACACTTTAGATGCAAATACATGTCAGCAAGACACCACCTATCAAACTTTCTATATTTCCCCCCAGATGTTCAGGAGGAGATCTCATTTCCCTTTAAAAATGTATCTCAAATACCATTCATCTGT